CCAGCAGTATCTGTTTGGCCACGAGCGCGGCTGTGGCCGTGGCGCTTCTGTGAAAGAAGGCAACAATGCGCCTTATTCTGCCCAACAAATGGCTCACTCGTGGCACACTCAAACCCGCTTGGCTGGCCAAGTTTAAAGTGTGGGCAAAACACCTGACATGGGGGGCTAGCCCAGCCTCTCTGACAGCAACATCCATATTTCTCGCGTTGTCCGTCACAACAGCAATTCCACGGTTAGCCTTTTGAAGCCCACATTCACTCACAGCTGATTTTAAAACTTCAGCAATATTAGCCCTGGTGTGTGTTTCAAACAGGGTGAGTTTGAAGGACAAAATTGGCCATCTCCCACTCGCTGGTTATCACATGGGCTGTGGACCGTAAGATAACTCTGGGTAGCCCTGGAGGTCCAGCTGTCGGTTGTAATTGACACGCTGTCTGCCTTTCTGAGTACCTCAACCACCTTAGATTTTGTTTCTCTGTAAAGCGTTGGCATGACAGTCTGGCTAAAGTGGGGGCGTGATGGGATTTGGTATCTGGGTTCCAGTGTGTTCAGCAGTAGCCGAAATCCTTCATTTTCTACTACAGAAAACGGCCTCATGTCTTTTCCCATGAAAACACCGATGCACCGTGTGATCTCCACAGCTCTCGCACTCGTCGGAGCGAGTGGGGCTGCAAATCCTCCGGTCAGTGTGGTTTGGCCTATTAATAGCTTTTTGCGTACAGACGGCTGTGACTGGAGCTTTTCACTGTGGTGACGGTTTATGTGCTGCATCATATTCGTTGTGCTGTTAATGTATGTAAACGTCTTCTTGCAGTGTTTGCACACAGTTTTTGTTTTGTCTACCACCTCACCGCTGTCATTTTTAGTCTTCGGAAAGCCAAAATGCCGCTACGCCTGATTTGAACGAGGATGGGGCTTCCTCAATATCAACATCCACACTCGTCGTCGCCATGCTTGAAACTGTTTGCTACAACTTGTTGTTCGCCGCTATTGCATCTGTAAAGCGAGTTTTCAGTAAACACAGCGGCCCCTGCTGTTTTTCTATCTGACTAATGAGTTCTTGGTCACCGAATATGTTTTTTTCTCGGGTAAATGTGACGTTATGTGACATTGTTTACAAGCCGTTATTTGACGTCTTTGCGTGGCTGAAACACTGATTGAGCGATTACATGAGACAGGATACGGATTGTAAAGTTTTACTCTTTCTTTAATTTACCTTCGGATGTTTAGTCATGTTTATTTTGTGCTGAAACGTATTAATGTGGAGGAGATGATTAGTTCACGTGCCGCGTCTGTTGAACTGTGGCGCTACAGCGATCTGTCACTCCACATTAAACAGCGCCAAAACGGCATTTATTGTTTGAATACTACAATACAATGGACAGAATTTGAAATCTGAGACTTTGTTTCATATTAAAAGTACCAAAGCACAATGCTTATTGCGATATATTGGATGGGGGAGGTGCCCTTCAATGTTCCGTCCATTAACTGAAAACAGGTTAGACTAATCGATTCTTGGGATTTAAGAATCGATATCGTTCTGTAAAAATGAGAATCGATTTAAATTGAGATTTCTATATTTTTTTTACCCAGACCTATTGCTAATCATGCTACAAACATGCCAGTAACTTGTTAATCATGCTAGCAACATGCTAATCATGCTAGAAACATGTTAGCGAAATGCTAGTAAACTTGCTAATCATGCTAGTGACATGTCACTTGCTAATCATGCTAGAAACATGCTAGCGACATGCTAGTAACTTGGTAATCATGCTAGCGACATGCTAGTTACTTGCTAGCCATGTTAACATGCTAATCACTTGTTAATCTTGCTAGCAACATTCTATTAACATGCTAATCATGCTAGAAACATGATAGTAAATTGTTAATCATGCCAGCAATATGCTAATAACAGGCTAATCATGCTAGTAACATGTTATCAACATCTATCTAAATTTTCAAACTTCAGGTTTTTACAACTGCTTTAAACTTTCAGGCTAGGCTTTCTCAAGTCAACATAAAGTTTGTCTTGACAAACTTTTTTATCTAGTCTAAAATAAGACATTATGACGTATGCAGCCTACAAATGGGACCTCCGGAGGATGCAGCTTTCCATTTGAGAAACGGCCTAAGTCTAAAGGCCAAAGTATACTTCGGCCATCCGCGCACCGTCCACTTTACATAATTTTCGTCATCAGGAGGGCTCGCGGACAGCCGCGCACCCAGTCTGCGTGCAGGCAATTTTTTGAGACCGCATGGACAGTCCGCGTACAACAGCGCATGCGCAAGCTGAAAGTTGAGACGGAGCGCAAGTCAAGTACGTGGTACTGCGCCTGTGTCGAGCTCATCTGTCCGCACTCATCCGCGGTTGAGTATATTTTGAAAGCTGTGCGGACGCGGCTGTGGCCTTAAGACTATTTAAAATAGGACTGGACGATTTGGCCAAAATTTATATCACAATATTTCTTAATTTTGGCCGACACAATATAAACAATTATATAATATTTTAGAAAACAAATGGCACAAATAAATGAATGGTCACCTTTTATTTGTATTAGCCTTCATACAAACAAGAAACGTGAAATCACTGTCAAATGAACATAATACTTTCAGTCTCACCTTATTAATATTAATATATTTAACTTTAAACTATAACATAGGCTGAAGGCTGATTAAGATTGAAACAAAAGTGCTTCAGTCAGTATATGAAAAGTGCTCGGAGTTGTGGCAGAAAACAGAAAAAAAGTGTGAGCAAAAACAAAATCATGTTGCTGTAGACAGGCTCAATCTCTGCCAGCAGAAGGCGCTTTAGAGGAAAGACTAGACTGTGCACTCCTAATACTTATGAATGAATACTACTAAATGAAAAAGCCAATTGTTGATTAGTAAAGTCATCATGTCACTGCACAGCTGCTGTTAGAAGCTCCGGTTCCTATAGAAACAGGCAGCATTCGCAAACTCGCGCTCATGACTGCGCATGCGTATTGGCTGCTCTAGCCTGAAAAATAAGCCCTTTTATCACTATTTCAGCATAAAAAACAACAATTATGAGGCAGCTGTTGTAAGAATTCATTGGTGATTTCAAATATGAAATTTAATTGTAAGCTTGGTAACAGTTTTGGAGAATTTGATGTTTCCTCATTCAAAGAGATGGGAGCTGCACTTGCATGCCCGGGAGGCATTTTAAAGATGGCCGTCGAGTGAAATGACTTGTTTTAAAGGCACAATATGTCATTTTTTGCCACTAGAGGGTGCGTATTCAAAACAAACAAAGAGACAAAGGCGTAGTTTGATGAAACCGTGACTGAGTGTGGAATCATGGGAGTTGTCGTCTTCATCCCCACAGCCGATGCA